GCCCTGGGGCTCAGGACTGGGCCTGGATTCTTTAGGAAGTCTCACTACTTGGCTTTCATGAGTGAGCTCAGACTGCACTACAAACTCCACAGAGCATGCTCCGTTCCCCAACCCCATCTCCCTCATACACATTCAGGTGTAATATATCCAAAAAACCACGTCATTCCTGACCAAGCTATGAAAGAAGTTGCTATTTTTAAGTACTAGCCTGACTTAATTGCTCAAATCCTTACTTTCTTCATTATTGACTACCATTCATTCACCCCGGCAGACAATGGGTGAGAATTTACTTTAGACTGAGTGAGATACTGGCTTGGCCTATTCATTTTACTGAATGGAACTGTGGGTGCTGGAAGGAAACATGGAAGCCTGACGGCTGGAGAGGGATATGAAACGTATGGCAAGGCGGAATCATCAGAAGGCTTAAACCTTTTTGATAAAAGCAAAACCAGTTCAGGAGGAGTGAGAAAATGAGTATGAAAACTGTCAAAACTAGAGCTATCAAGAACCAAATCCTGGGTATCTCTTAAAAATCACCTTGTTTCTGATTTCAAAATAAATACTACTATAGCATATTTGGAAAATGCAAAAGTAGAAAAATATTTTTAAAAATTCATACCTTACTACCCAACCCACCAACTTTTGGTAGCTTGGTATATTTCTTTTTAGCTTTTTTTTTCTTGTGCATTTTCCACATTACTTAATGGGAACATACGTTACATCCTGTGTCTGCCACTTATTCTTTGTACACAGATATTTATTTTATGTTGTGAACTGTTCACAAATATGATTTTAATAATTGCAGATAAGTGATTATTTTCTGATATTGGGCATTTATGCTGTTACTGATTCTTATTAGAATAAATAATGCTGCCATGAACGTTTACATGCATACTGGTTTTCTACCTTCAGCATTACTCCCTTAGATTACACATATCAGCCACGGACCAAAGAGTCAAAGGATAAAATCTTTCAAAGGCTTTTAGTAAATATTGTCAAATTATGTCCAAGATGGCATCAATTTAAAGTTACTGGATAGCTAAAAAAACAAAAGATGTAAATAATTCTATGAAGAATATTTTCATACACAAAAAATTTGGCCAAGTCTTAGGGCACGGTAAAATTTAGGAATGAATAAATAAATAGACTTAGAACTTATATCTCAGCCCAGAATATTTATTTTGGATGTGTAAAATGTTGTAGACAGGAAGAATGGCAAATACTATGACTGGAATTTTAACTATGCTGCTCTGTGCCTTGAGCCAATTTTTTGCTTACATTCCCACACATACCACATTTCACTGATTCTAAGCTGCACCATTCCCCCCATATTAACACCTCTGAAGCACTGTGTCAGCTTAACTGACAGGAGCTTATTCTTTCTTTGCAATGCACAGAATGATGGTACCTTTAACAACTGATGCCATATTGATTTAATGAAGCACAGTAATTCTAGATGGAATACAAGAATTACTGCTGCTCATGTTTGTACGGGCCCAATTCCCACTGCATTTAGCACAAGCTGTGTACAAACTATGGGGCCAGAAATCAAACTAGTAACAGTGACAAAGGGTAATGTACTGAAGACAGACTCAGGTCAAGTTGAACCTTTTATCAGAGTAATCTAGGGTGCTGAGTTTACCTTAGTCTTACTATGTATACTATTTGATTCTGGTGTTCAGGGTACTATAGCTGCTTGTGAAATAAAGTCACTTATAAAGGGATAGATGCCACATCAAAATACCTTGCCCCATAGGTTCAAATCCAACATCTATGCTGCCTCTCAGGTGTAAAAGTTTACTTTAAACTTTTATGGGGTAAAATAACAGAATTATGTATGTCTTTGTGTACATATAGATCAGTGATGAAATATACCGTAGAAGAGAAATTCATTATACTGTTCAGCCTTGCAAATTATTAGATATGCAAGGCAGGTAAAAATTCATGCTGAGCAGGTAGTGAAGAATGGTAATTTTATATATTTTATTATGTTATGTGCCTTCTAAAGGATGATGGAATTTGCCAAGTTGATATATTTAAAAGCTTTATTGAAAAGCAGCATTTTAATCATTAGACATAAAACAAATAGGACTTATGTCAAATAAAAAAATAAGCTTTAAAAATGTTAGACTAATCTAAGAAGTTATTTAAACACAGTCTCTCTCTCTTTCCTTTTCCTAGGGGAGACATGGCTTGGCAAATGTTCATTAAAAAAATATCTGGGGTTTAACTGATGACACTTGAATAGGGATCAAAGATGTCTTACCTAAAAGCATATTAAATGTGAAGTTATTTTATTATAAAAACATACTCAGAACAACCCTCTCAATGTACTCAAGCTACTTCATAGCTTGTTCAATCCTAAGTGCTATATTTAAAATGAAGATGATAAGAGTTGATCAACCAGCATGGCTCCATCGGTTAATTGTTTCCCATCTTAAAGTCTCCTTATCTGCTAGTTCCTTCCCTTCATGATACAAACATACTGAGATGACCGCCAAATCCCAAGGCTGACTTTCAGTCCATATATCATTTGCTGCTAAGTCAGAGCCTGTTAACCTTTTCCTTCTTGAGATTATTAGAACTCTTTACCTTTGATCTCAACGGTCATCGCTACCAAAATTTGTTGACTATTTGCCCTGGGTTTCCATCAAAAACCTCACCCTTTTTTTTTTTAGCTTGTCCTTTAAATACTAATGTTCTCTATGACAGCATCATTGACCTCTTTTATTCTGATTGAAAACACAATGCATCAACATCTATAGATTCGCTGATATACTGGGGTATCCACATCTTTCTCTCTAGCCAAGGCCTCTCTCCAAAGCCCTCAAGCTCAGGAGGATACAATCTGCCCAATGGGAAGGTATGTACAGACACAGAGATGTGAACATGGCCTAAAGGCTATGATAACACAGAACTGGAAGCACTAAATTCTCTAGTAGGTAGGGTATAACTATCCTTATAGTCCTAAATTATTTTCATATTTTTGAGTAAAAAAACAAAACAAAACAAACAACTAAATGTAACAACCAAAAAAAACAAACAAACAAGAAAAACCTACTGAGGCCCTACTTTTATTTATTATTTGTTTTAATGGAGGTACTGGGGAGTGAACCTAGGACCTCATGCATGCTATGCATGCGCTCTACCACTGAGCTACACCCTCCCCTCTAATTCTAAATGCAAATAAACACATTTAGACAAGAGAAGAGAACATTTAACCCAAAGCATCCAAAGTTGCTGTGATTTTGCTTTATTTTACTTTTATTATGTTGGTATCAGCATCTTCCTTGTGAACTACTTCTGTCTACTCAGGTTTGTCAAGGACTGATTCTACCACGAAGGCTGATCTCTGGCTCTGCTCACAGCTCAGGGATCTCTCATGTCTCTGAACAAATCTGAACCATCCATGTGCTGCTTGGAATGGACTACAGTGTGGTCCACTTAATTGCCTCCTGAGTAAACACTGCTCATCTCACAAGTCAGATCACGAACTACTCAGAACATGGCCAGGGCAACTTTTACCTGGATGTTCTACATCTTGCACTGGACCGAACATACAGGAGCTGAATGAAAACAATGACTAAATGAATGAATAACTGCCTAAAATTTCTCTTCATCATCATTTCTAATCTCACCTGATCTCCCAAACCTAGATCTCGGTTTACCATTCTCTGTTTTACCAACAAGCAAGTAAAAGCAAGCAAGCAAGAATCAAGCACATTTTCCTATTTTTCTTAGTACAAGCTTATCTTTTATCACTAAGCCTTCAGTCATTAAACACATCTGAAGAAAACACTACAACATGTAGGGGGGTGAGAGTGTATTTTACACATTTACAAGGTGATAGATACATGTTCACGAACCATTATGTTGATCTTTCTGATTCATGATCCTTTCAGATCATGATTCATAAGACCGATGAACATGCACTAAGTGTTCAACAGATAGGTGACTTGAGAATAGTCCAGGGCAAACCAACAAAGTGGGCTTGTCTGACGACTGGCACGACAGATGCTGCTTCGAACGCTCAGGCTCTCGCGCCCCTTCGTTTTGCACTGGAAGCAGCATATGCACCTCAGCTGACAGGGTGTGACAGTGAACAGCAGAAAGTGGGGCCCAGGTAAAAGCATTCAATAACAGGAAACTTAAGATTGGAAATAAGCTGACAGTTCAGGTACATAAAACATGGTGAAACAGTTTAAGTCTAACTGGTAGGGACTGAGGGAAAAACTATTCAAGCAGGAGCTGACCCACATGGAAAACCACTTACCCAGGATTTGCTTGCTCCTTCGCTCTGATCCAAGGCACCAGGAAGTGAACAATATTTTATATAAACACTGAGTTCTCATACAAAATCAATAACAACATTGAATTCTCAAAGGAATTTTTAAAGGTGCATTTATAGATTAAATGAAGACACTAATTCAGAGGAAGTGCTCAGTGTCAGAAGCATAACTGCAGTTTTCAAGGCTTTTGAACAGAAATTTCAACCTTGAAATACATAGGGATTTGATTAGTATCAACAAGATCAATGCAATATAGATTGAATAACATATATTATAGTGTTATATATATATTGAAACATTAGAGTCTAGCTTCAGGAGGCATAATTTACACAGGAAGAAAATCCTAAGAGTGCAAATCAGAAAAGAATAAGTAGGTAATGGTAATCAGTACTTTTCAACAGATTAAAATGTACTGTAAGTTGGAAAAAATAGTAAATGTGGAAGATCTGGTAGATTTGGTCTATTTAACATTGGGTCGAACATATTTTGGAACATAGTTTAGATGTGGATGTCAGCCATGTATAAAAGCGTGATTCTTTTTCTAAAACCAGGGATTCATAATAACCATAGAGAGGATTAAAAGTATTCAATCGGGTAAAACAGCAGTTATGTATGCAAGCAAGTTTGGTTGATTTTTGCTCTTACCTTGATATTTTTTGGAGGAAAAGAAATAAAACTGAATATTGACTGTCTTCAGAGAATTTCATACAAATGTGCTTTCCTGGGGATGGCCTGCCTCCGCACCTATCTTTGGCTCTAGGGTTAGGAATGTGCCATGAGAGTGAAACAAAACACTCTCATTTACCTGAGACAGTGACTGTCGGAGCCGTGCCATCTGTGTGCTGTGGCCTTTGTTGTGATCCTGCTCAGAAACCATCTGTTTAAGCTTCTCCTTCTCTATAGCTATGCTATTAAATGCAGACTTCAAAAGAGAATGCACTGGATCGGGGAGAAAAGTGAGAAACAAAGATTAAACAGATCTAGAAAGAATATGTAAAATTATAAACCTCTCAGCACTTTAATTCATGCATGGATATTTTCCGGAAAGGTTATGTTACAGCCTAATTAAAAGTCAGCCTTAAAATGGAGTCTATAGAATATTTATACACAACACAAATATGGTAATGGTAACTAATCAGGATGAAAGTTTTAGCATTTCACACCAGACTGGCCAACAAAGACCTGGAGGCAGCATATAATATATCAATTTTAAATCTCAATATTTAGAAACTAATCTATAATTTCTAGAAGGAAAAGGAAACAAGTTTTATTCTGCCATGTTTGATGATAATAATGACCAGTTCTGTGTACAATGAAGCCTCATGCAGATCATTTAGAACTATCTAAAAATTATTTCCCTAAAGTGCGCATTCAAAAAAGATCATTTTATGATTCCTGCCAATATAAATCAGTCAGCTGATTGATAAGTGCTGACTAGTTCTCTTTGGGACAGGAAATGATTTGGTTTTAAGAACAGCACTTGGATTACTTTCTCAGCCAAGAACATCTTGATATCAGAAGTGCTTTCAAAGAGAGTACAAACTTCTAGTTATAAGATGAATAAGTTCTGGGGATCTAATGTATGTATGTTGGTTACAGTTAATCATACTGCATTATATACTTAAAAGTTGCTAAGAGAGTAGATCTTAAATGTTCTCACCAGAAAATGAAATGGTAATTCTGTGACATAATGGAGGTATTGCTATCGTTATGGTGGTAATTATTTTGCAATATATAAGTGTATCAATTTGACATGTATACCCCAAATGTGCACAATGTTAAATTATAAATGTTAAGCTATCAAATTATAGCTTAATAAAGCTGGAAGTAAAATAAAACAAAATAAAAGCAACAATAATCCCCCCCATTTCTGCATACCTAACAACGTACATTGGTAAAATCTGAGGCAATCTTCAGTTTTGAAACAAAAAGGTTAAATTTCCAACTCCTGTCTTTACAATAGCAGTTTCTATAAAATGCAAGTCTTCTAAAACTGATATTTCCTTATTTGAGAAAGGTTATTTTTAAAAGAAGTGGAGTAATTTAGCACAAAAAAGTGGCCTGAATTAAAGGGGAAAAATGGCAGGATCACACGGGACTCACCATCTATTGATTTACGTGCTGCATTCTAGTTGTCATCAGTTTTATGGTAATAACTTGATAGCTGAAATACATTAACCCCACTGGCAGCTCTAAAAGCGGACTCTCACTCATTTCAAAATCCATAATTCTTCCTAAAGAGTTCACTCAATAGTCATAGAAAAGCCCCCCTTTTTTTTTCTAGCACAGTGGAAAAGAAAACATGTTGTTTCAACAGAGGCTTTAAAATTCTGTTGAAACTTGGATTTCCTGAAAGCCTCGGGACTGCAACCAAATACACAAAGCTTTCCTGGGGCTACCTTCAAATTTATCCATCTTCCTTTAGAAGCTGTGCTATATTTAATTCACACAGTTGTCTCATTCTACCTGCTCCTATAACCCCGTATTAGAAGTAAAAGTTACTGGCTTTCTTGGCCATAAATCTATGCTGTTATATAAACAGAAAAGCATTGCTCTAGTCTAATGACATGACTAGCATCCAGCTAAGAAATGTAATAAAAATATGTAAGGAGTAAAATAGCAGTAGAAAGAGAGCTGGCCGTACAGAATCTCAGCTGAGAAATCCACAGGAAAGAAAAGGGGAGGGGAGGGGGAGATGATTTTGCTTAACTGTTTCAGGGTTGCGGAATTAAAGAAATATCTGACAGCACATCTTTGCTGATGGTTTGAGAGTATACATTTTTTGTTGACTTCAGCATTCCCAGAGATGCCCGCAGCATGCCGCTTCTTCTCCTGAGCCACTGGGCTCTTCAGTATTATGGGGGATACTTGAGATGTTTCATTTAACACGTTTTCAAAAATATCTTATAACCTATTACCAGCAGCCCCAGAGGAAACAAATGTGATTAATTCATCATAAGGTGTCAGTGACTGAAAGTAACATAAGGTATATCTTTCTCTAAGAGATTACATATTTTATAAGACAGTGCCTGAGAAGGTACCATCAAAAGCAAAGGATGAATTTCAGTGGCTGAATTAAAGGTGGAGAACACTGTAGCAGTGAGGGGAGGGAGTTAATTCAGGAGCTGAGCTTTTCTTGGTCAACACAGACAAGACTGCCCGGTCCATCTACACTCTATGAGCCTGCTTATTTATTACACTTTACTCTGTGGCTGATGACAGCAGTTAAACATATGCAACATGCCTTATTGAAATTTCATATCAAAAAAGGGACTCCACAGTGGGGTGGACTTTCCCTCCCCTCAAATCTGGACTGGCCTGTGAAGCTCTGCCCAGTGGAGTGCAGTGGAAGGGACACTGCTCCAGTTCCAGAGCTGGCCTTGGACAAGGCTGGTCACTTCCATTCCAATCCACTCTGTTCTTTTGGAGCCCTGAGATGCTGTGGAGAGGGAGAGAGACAGTTGTGTGCAGCCTCTCGGCCTCCAACCAAAGTGCGGGGCACCTGGATGAAGCCACCTTAAACCATTCAGCCCAGCCTCCAGCTGAGTAACACTGAGGGAGCCCAGCCAAGGTCACATGGCACAGAACTGCTTAGCAAAGCCAGCCTGAACTCCTGACCCACCAACTGTAGCTACAATCAGTGAGTGCTGTTCAATTTAAAAAAAGACTCAAACAGAATCTAGTTCTTCTTTTTTTTCCCCGTGCAAAGGCTAACGTGCAAGTATGTATTAAATGATGAAAAACATGCTGAGTAATAGTGTCTGCCAGCCTGCCTAGAATAACCCTTTCTTTCTGCCTTTTCTCTCCATTCAATGATACTTTCTCTATTCAGTCTGAACTGTAACCCTATGATACATGTTCTCCCAGGAGGCAAGCATCACATCCTGCTTTATTTTGTCTATAGAGCTCCAACAAGTGTATAAATCATTTAATTTTTCTACCATGACCGCCCAGACATGGATAAGAAAATACATGGCAACTTTTCCATCAAAGAAGAGAGCTTCTCTGAAAGGCACGTTACATTGGTTGTTACCTTTTTGTGCAATTAGACAAAATTCTTCCTGAAGCTTTGTATAATCCGTTGAACTTTCTAGAGGGTCGGTGAGGTGGCTAGGGGGAGTCTGAAATTCAATATCTGCACAAAGGTTGGGGTTGGAGGAATGCAAGCGAACCGGGGACATGGTAGCACTGAAAGGAACCTGAAAAGGGGAGGACACAAATTATTAAACAGCAAACAGCACATTGTTCCACATTCTCTTACACAGAAAAGATCTCTTCCATTCTCCCCAATAATAGAGTCCTCTCTGATGACACACTTGGAGACAGCACTCATTTATTTTGCAGGTGGCTGGGGTAGGAAGGAGTCTCGTTTCCCAGAGCTGATTTAGTACTGCCACTGACTCCCTGGCTTTTTCCTGTCACAGGAAGAGATGACTACACAATGACAGGGAGAAAAGGCATAATCCCAGATAAGCTTCTGCTCTGAGCCCACTGAAACAGTACCGGCCGAAAGCAGTCTGAGCTGTGACGCAGCTGACATTCTCTTACAAAGTCTGGGTACTCACATCAGAGGGCTTTTTATGCCTACTTCTTTCTGAGCCTGGAGCAAGAACTCACTGAACAGGTGAAAATTCAAGAGGCACACATACAGAAAGATTCACTTGCTCCAATGCCATTAGAGAAAACATAACTCAGTTTAATACTAAATATAGTAACGGTTTAAAGGACTCACAATTAAATTTGAAATTGATTTATCAAAATATATTTGTAATGAAATATATATATATTATATAAATTACTGTAGTTTACCTTTGTATGTTACACATAACTGTTATACACGAATATGGCTTATGAACTGGCCAATATGGAAAAGCATTAAGTAAAAAAAGTCATATTACTATAGATTTTCCCAAATACTAGAGGTACTTCCTTGCCCAGGCTGGATCTGGGCTAAGATTGTGATGGGTGGAGGCACAGTACCTTTCCCTTTCCTTCTGGAAGGTTTTACCTGACCATTACAAATACTGTTAGTCAAACATTCTTGGAAAATGAGAATATCAACTCCTCTTGTAAATCAGATTACCAGTAACCTCCCCTAATTCTTACTGCACAGATGTGCATTCAATTATCTTCAAGAATCACTCTTAGGCTCCTCCACAAGCTGAATTTTGCATAAATTAAAAGATAATTCACACCCTCTATCTAACAGAAAATATGGTGGAGGAGGAAGGAACCAATATCTCGCCTGATTTAAATGTATGCCAGAACCCCTTCCTTTTTTCATTTTTTTGATTTATCTTCAAAACTTGTAACAGAAAAAGAGAGGGGGGTGGAGAGAGGGAGCGAGCGAGTATATGTCTGCACTGAGGGAGGAGGATGGAGGAGATGGAGATCCCAAAAATCTATCCTGAGCTGCAGTCTGTGGGTCTGTGTGAGGGCTGTTGAGACTGGAAAGCGTCCTTAGAATGGAATTTGTCCTGGCATGGAGTTATTTATCTCAAAAGATATCCAGGGCTTACTGGGAAAGACAGCGAGCATGTTCAGAGAAGCTAAGCATGTTACTATAGAATATCTGAAGCTTTTGGTATCTGGAGTCATCAAAGGAAGTACCTCATTCTCCATAGGGACCTTGGCTACACTCGGCTGGGAGATGTCACGAACTTGTTTATCTCATCAGGATCAGAAGTTCTGGCTATTCCAGAGAAGAGACTTAAAAATAACAGATAAGCCACTTGAGAAAATGGAGTCCTTGGGTTCAATATTGCTGGAATCTTGTCCAGGTAACTTTGTGCTAACAATGACTGAGGTTTTTTAGGATATCTGTAAAGGAACAGGATTTACATGGAAGAATATTTGAAGACAGATAAAGAAAACTTCTGACCTTGGCTGTGGTAATGCTAAATCTAGAAAGAACAGTCAGTCCAAGGTCCTCTAGGAGCAGGGAATTCACGTAAAGGTTGGTAATTAGGAGGTCATGGGGAGAGACTGTGACCTGAGGAAATGGATAGATCAGGGAGTTTTCAGGTTTAAGGATATGGCTTCCAGATACAAAGAACTAAAAAACACTTCAGAAAAAGGAATGTGGGTGTTCAGTGACAGGAAATGAAATGTCTTGAGGATCATGGAAAAGGGTTTTATCTGCAGCCAGGTGCCCTGAACACTCCAAGGACTGACATGGCACAGGGGAGGGTCTCTTACTCTGAGCGGGTGAGGAGGCTGGGGGGAGAGGTGGTAATGAGGGGCCATGAGCAGTGGAGGCCCAGAATGTCCAGTAAGGACCCAGACTGTCCCTGAGATAACGCCTCTCTATTAATAGTTGGAATCAGACGCCAAGAAGAGAAACATATTACAAATTTGTATTTTGTACATAATGTAAGTCTAAATCGGCAATTAAAGCAGTAAAAAGGATTTTGTATCTAACCCACAGGAAAAGGGACTTGGAATGCTCTATTCAAACTGCAATCAGACAGTTCCCTGGGAAATTGAAAACTAATTTTTATAAACTTCTAGCTGAAAATGTTTATACTGATATCTTTTTTTGTTAAAAGAAGTATATGGAATGGGTCATTTTAACTGAAAAATTCATGAAATGAAATTGAGAACGCAAATTGAGATGTATTAATCTAACTCTAATTGAATATCTCTGCAGCCTGGGGACTTATTTATTCAGTTTTTTTATTCATCAATTTGAGTATCATGGGATTCCAACATTTAAATGGTAACTAGGTTCTCTGTTGGTGATGACTGGAGTGGGAGCTGTCTACAGCTCTTAATGTTTGTACCCAAGAAACTTCAACACTGAAAATGTAGCTTTATACCCTTCTCAGGAAGGAAATTCAAGGCTTCCTTGAAATCCTGTGACAGGGAGTAAGCCTGATCCAGGAACATAAAATAATTGCAGTTTGGAAGCAGGCTGTGAGGAGATGCTTTCATCACCTCTCTGTAAATCAGTCAAAAGAGGAATCAGATTGACAGTGGACTATTGGCACAGACATTTAGCAATGGTAAACATGAATGATAAAGCGAACACACAACAGGAGGTCTAAGGCAGATACTGAGTGTATACCACTCAGGGAGCTGTTGTGAAGAGTGTCCTGCTGCTGTTACTCTGCGTTACAGGTGCGGGGATCCTGGTGTGGTGTGCTGGTTGCACTGGGACTCTCCGTCTTCTTCCACGGGGAGGGCCAGTGTTTCTCTTTCCCAATCCCCTATTCTGTTGGGTCTGGCTGATGTTGCAAGTGGACCATTACTGATGCTAGTACTAAGAATCAACGAGAATAAATCTCTGAAACATCTCGGGTGTACTTCTCTTTGGGAGCAATCTCAGCTGCCCTAGACACCTGAGTGGGTGAGGAGAACAAGTGACTGAAGTCATCTGGAAGCATTCCAGGTAAAAGGGCACCTAGCAGGATAGCAGAGGTGCAAAATGTGTGGGCTAATTGCAGTGTTGAAAAGAGGAAGGACAGGGAATTGAGGGGAACCACTGCACTAAAAGAAACAGGAAGGCTGAGTCGTCAGTGACAGCTCACTGAGATGTTGGCAAGGGGCTGAGGGAGCCAGTGGAAGGTCCTACTAGATGCTGTCTTGCTCTGGTATAAAGTTAAAAAAATCATAAACCCTAGGGGGTTTGGAGTCACTGTTCCCTCTAGGTATTCCTGAGTACATTACTAAATGTTGCCAGCTTTTCTCATTAGATGCTCTAAGTTATTCTTAACCTCTGTGGTCACAGCTGTCCTGTGGGGAAGTGAACATCAATATCTCCATCTTTCAAAAGCCTTTTCGCTTGTACTCTTGACTAAAAAAAATAGATCTGTTCTATTTAATAGGTTCTAATCCAAGTTTTATTATATTCACTATATGTATCTGCAATTAAAAAAATGAGCACAGAAGAAACACAATCACTTCCCTGCATGCCATCCTAGAAGTACATTATTTAAAGAAACAGCATTTTCATAAAATTATTGACCTTTCCTTTCCATACTGAGATATTGTTCTCACCCTAATAATCATTTGGATTTCTGAATTTTTTAAATGAAAGATTACATTTAAGAATTTTAAAACTGGGGAGAGGGTGTAGCTAAGTGGTAAAGTGTGTGCTTAGCATGCATGAGGCCAGGGTTTAATTCCCAGTACCTAATTTAAAAAGAAAAAAGAATTTTAAAATTAATTTTACATGTATCTATTGTCAGAATCTGTTACCATATCAGTATAACATAATTAATTCATTTGCATTTTAATAGATGCATAAG